ACAGGCTTCTGCACAGCAAAGGAAACCATAAGTAAAACAAGAAGACAACCCACGGAATGGGAGAAAATTTTTGCAAATGAAACCGACAAAGGCTTGATCTCCAGAATATATAAGCAGCTCATACGACTCAGTAAGAAAAAAACAAACAACCCAATCCAAAAACGGGCAGAAGACCTAAACAAGCAATTCTCCAAGGAAGACATACAAATGATCAAAAGGCACATGAAAAAATGCTCAATATCACTAAGTATCAGAGAAATGCAAATCAAAACTACAATGAGGTTATCACCTCACACCAGTCAGAATGGCCATCATTCAAAAGTCCACAAATGACAAATGCTGGAGAGGCTGTGGAGAAAAGGGAACCCTCCTACACTGCTGGTGGAAATGCAGTTTGGTGCAGCCACTGTGGAAAACATTATGGAGATTTCTCAAAAGACTAGGAATAGACTTACTGTATGACCCAGGAATCCTGCTCCTGGGCTTATAACCAGAAGGAACCCTACTTCAAAATGACATCTGCACCCCAATGTTCATAGCAACACTATTTACAATAGCCAAGACATGGAAACAGCCTGAATGTCCATCAACAGGTGACTGGATAAAGAAGAAGTGGTATATTTCTACAATGGAATACTATTCGGCCATAAAAACTGACAACATAACGCCATTTGAAGCAACATGGATGTTCCTGGATAATGTGATTCTAAGTGAAGTAAGCCAGAAAGAGAAAGAAATATACCATATGAGATCGTTCATATGTGGAATTAAAAAAAAAGAACATAAATACAAAACAGAAACAGACTCATAGACATAGAATATAAACATGTGGTTACCAAGGGGGTGGGGGGGTGGGAAGGGACAAACTGGGATTTCAAAATGTAGAATAGATAAACAAGATTATACTGTATAGCACAGGGAAATATATACAAGATCTTGTGGTAGCTTACAGAGAAAAAAAATGTAACAATGAATATATATATGTTCATGTATAACTGAAAAATTGTGCTCTACACTAGAATTTGACACAACATTGTAAAATGTCTATAACTCAATTAAAAAAAAGGAAAACAAACAAACAAAAAAAGTATCAGCAGGGTGCTGATCTGGATCAAATCAAATATTAGGAACAGAAGGAATAAACCATTATTTTTACATGGGCTATACTCCATTTATTAAATCACTAATATTTTTGGAAATTATTTTAGGAAAATACCAGCAAAACTAGATGTGCTATTTGAAGAGGTGTGTTGATATTCGAAACTATGAGAATATTTTGCAGGTTTTTCCTTTTTAATATATGAAGCTAAATAGGTTTGAAAATGTATGCTTGAATAACTCTCAATTAATCTTATTGTTTAGTTCTTAAGAAAATTCAATCTAATCAAATCATGGCAGCTGGTATGTTGGGAATTTTCTGCAGCTAAACTCACCTTAACCAGGCTACAAATTAAATCTTTACCAAAAACATTTAAATGCTTTTATAATTGACTTAATAAAACATTTGCTAAATTTGAGATGTAACTCATATACTTCTAAAAATCTAAATACACTGAAAATATATTAAGCATTTAATTTCAAACTTTCAGTTGTTTAGCAACTGCTTATTGACAATCTATCCAAAATTCTATGAACACAAATGTCTATATTAATCATGTTTATTAAAACTTACCGCACATATTGACTTAAGTCTACACATTGTAGTTTTTTCCGAATAAGTTGTGGAGACATTTCCAAAATTGTTGGGGATCGTGATTGAGGCCCTGTTTCAAAACAAAAAGTGCCAGGCTTTCAAAAAAAATCAGCAATAACTAACTAAATGATTATATATTTGATTTAAATTGAAAATATTCTGCACTTCCCTTATTTAATGTGATTTTCATGTTATTTAATGACTATATTGAAATATGACTATATTTCATATTTATCCTCTTGGTATTACTATACTAACAGTTAAATGCAGGAGATGACAATGGGTATAGAAAAAATGAATATGGTCTATAAAAGAGAGTACTAAAATGACTCTAATTTACTTAAGTGAAAGCAGAGACCAAAAAAGATCATACTTTGTTATAAAATTTCATTCTAAACAAGTTAAATAATCAAATATTTAAAGAGTTTGGTCTATCTGTGAAAGCTGTACTAAGCACTGTGGGGGTGGGATATAAAAATGTTTTGAGACACAGTATCCTACCTCCAAAAAACTTTTGGTCCAGTAAAGTAGGCAATATTACAACAAGTAAACACTGAAAATCAAAGTAACAGGAGCTTTTTACCCCACAGACTCGTCTGAACCCACAAGAACAGATCTAAGAAAGAAATTTTAGAGACTAAGATGTTAACCATTCAGCCTTTCCAGACCATTTAATCTCTCTTTTTAAAAAAATATTGAAGTGTCATTGACATACCATACAATTTATTAGTTTTGAAAGTATAACTCAGTATGTTTTAGTAAATTTACAGTTGTGCAACTGACACCGAAATCCTTTCCCAAAACCTTCCCATTATCCAAATGCATACTCTTGTGCCCTCTACATACCCACCACAAGCCCCAGGCTGCTGATTTGCCTTTCTTGGATAGTTCATGCAAAACTACAAGGATATATTTCACTGCATAGAGAATATAGCCAATATTTCATAATAACTTTAAATGGAGTATAATCTATAAAATTTTTGAATCCTTGTATTGTACACCTGAAACTACTATTATAAATCAACAATATACCACAATAAAAATAAAGAAATCTCATAGGAAAAGGTACACTCTTTCAGAGTTATGTGAAATTTAATGAAAATGTCTGAAGACTCTAATGGCCAAAAATGTTAAGAAATGAGGATCAGGAGGGTTGAAACTGAATCACAAGTTTTGGTGCCTTATAACACCAGTCTGGGACTCTGGGAAAAAAATGAAATCTATATTATGATTACAGGGACACTATCCAAGGCAGGTGTGAAGAATCATGATTACACATAATTTTCTCAACTCAAAGATTACTTTGTTAGTAAATAAATAACCAACTTGACATCAGAATTTAATTTTATTTTTATTTTACAGATCTTTAACTAAATGTGGGGAGAAGTTTGTGTTAAAATAGAGGTCACAGTACGTGGAATAAAAAGAAAACTAGGGTTTAAGTCCTGATTCTATGCAAACTATTTAAGCTTTCTGCTCTTGGGTGAGTTATTTATGAATTCCTTTATTTTGAGGTTGAAAACAAGCAGGACCCTTGAGGGGGCCTTCCTTGGGACAGACGCCCTACACATGTCCCCCACCTCTTGTTTGTAGAAAAGCTTTGCTTCTGAGGCCTTCCCTGAGTTCCAAAGGACAAATTTTATCAGAGAAGTGAAAAAATGCAAAAAAAAAAAAAAAAAGGAAAACAGCCAAGTAAGACAAAATAATAATAGCACAGCCTAAATTGACTATATTTCAGTTAAATACACACACACACACACACACAAAGAGCCTTTAGTTCCTCCTCAAGGGCTATAGATAATACCCAGAGCCACATCCTGAAGTTATTTTGCAGATACTAAAACCCCCGCCAGGTGGAAGAGTTAACTGCATGATACTCGCAAGCACAGAGACCCCAGACCGACTGGAACCAGAAAGTCGATGATATTAACTCCTGAAATGTCACCCTGTTACCTCACCACCAACCAATCAGAAGAATGTCCATGAGCTGGTCAGACAGCCCACAACTCTCACCTTTAATGCTGCCTTGAGAAACCCTTCCCTGAAAGCCACTGGGGAGTTTGCATCTTTGAGCATAAGCTGCCTATTTTCCTTGCTTAGCCCCATGTTGGGCAGCTTGCAATAAACACTGTACTTCCCTTCACCAGAATCCAGTGTCAGTAGATTGGCTTTGCTGTGCAATGGGCGAGCGGACCCAAGTTGGTTTGGTAACAAGGCAGAGGTAACAGTATATGCTTTTTCTAGTTTACAGAGGCTCAAATGAGATGATTATGCCAAAACACTTTACAAATTCGATATTAATCTTAAATGTTAGGTATTATTCTAGTAAGTTTTAGTGCTATTGTTATATGTCCATTATTATCTATCAAATAAACGTTGACTTTCAAAATGCTGGTTCAAAGATATCAGAATCTTTGGTTAGTATGGTAAAAGAGCCCTTTGAATTTTGGAATTTTCCTCTTCACTGTGAAAATCACTCAAGAGCATGTTTTAGCCATAAACAAGTTTTAATTTTAAAATTCTCAGACTGGTTTAGCAACTTTGAGAACCACAGTTGGCATTTCTAAGGGTGCTTTCTTCCAAAATATCTTTCTTTCCTGAATTCTGAATAAGCAGAGAAAGAAAAAGTAAGAATTTTCCATTAACAGACGTATCATTGGGATGTAGCTTGGTGTGAGAGGCAAATGGGCCGTGATCATAGAACCTTCGGCCGAACCCTTCAGCATCCCTGTCACAGTTATACTTGTCTGACTCAGGGATGAGCAGTGGATGCAGGCTTCTTGTGGGCAGTCCAATTTATTCTTTCCTAATGTATCAATCAGATGACTCACATAGCCCACCAGTGACAGACGGTCCAGGAGTTGCTTAGGGAAAACTGTCCCTCATGGAAGCCAGGAATGTCAAAAGACATTTCTCTATAATATTTTCCATATAGGAGTTAGGTTCATTTTAGTAAATAAATACAAATCCCATAGTATACAGAAATGAACCAATCAGTGTGGCTTGGGCACCACTGAAAATCGTTGTTTTCCAACATTTTAGAAACCAAATATTTGAAATTTGTTGTCAAAGATGTAGCATACTATAGATAAAACAAAAAGGATCTGTGTGTAGTGACAATTGTGTATGTGATCACTGCAATTTTATTTTTAGTATTTGTAGACAAAGAAAACTATATGAATATATAACTGCTCCTTAAAATTAAACAAGAAAACATTTGCCCACTTTTATCTTTAGGTTAGGTATTTAGTAATCAGGTCCTTGAGCAGATTCCAACTCTGATAATCAAAATGAAGACCTATGAATCCTATTATATACCTATTTTTCTACGTTTAACCCTGGCCATCACATATGTTTAATTTCATATCTGTTCCAGGATTTTCATTTCAAAATATGCATTCATCTTATCAATAAGAGCAATACTTACTGATATTTTCCTTCCGCATGCCCTGCTCACGCTCCTCCTTAGGGAAGGAGGATGGGGATGATCCTCCACTATCGCTGCTGGTAGGTTTTGCCAGATCCTTCAAGCTCTTGCTCAGCTGCCACTTCTTCCACAGTGTGCTCCCTGAGGGTATGGTCTCTTTGCTGTCTAAACTCATGGGACTCTTTGTGTCTGACTCTCTTATGACACTTGAAGATGTTTCTACTACAACATGACACAGGCATTACTGAAAAGAACTTGTGTTCTATGAAATCACATGCAAAAATAGCAAGACGTATGGAGTACATACTGAATGAGTCCAAATATGTAAGGTTCAAGAACAGGAAAAATTAATTCATGATGATAGAGATCAGACTAACGGTTACTTTGAAGAAGGAAATGGCTGGGAAGAGGAATGAGGAAGACTACTGGGATGTATTAAGTATATATCTTGATCTGAATGGTGGCTACTGAGTATACACATCAAAGCTATACGAAAATACATCAAGCTATACAATTAACATTTGTGCCTTTACTACATTTTGTATGATAAGGTCAGCCTTCTCTGAGCTCTGTCCTCCACCAGGCTTTGTCCTTGGCTTGTAATGAATCCCAGTTTTAGCAAAGAATCCTGCTAAACTAATTTACTGAGAATCGTTCCATCTTTGATATCTAATTAAGCTCCTCTTCCCCCACCCTGATATTTAGTCAAATTTCTTTTGCCTGACCATTGATACCTAACCAAATTCCTGTAAGTAATTTTCTATCCAGTCCTTGTCTATTGGCTATAAATTCCCACTGTCTATGTTGTTTTCAGAGTTGCATTCAATCTCTCTCCTACTGCAATAGTCTTGAATAAAATCTTCCTTTCCATTTTTAACAAGTGTTCAGGGCAATACATTTTCTTTTACATATAATTTAATACAACTTTTAGAAAATTAGTAATAAAATATAGATCCCAAAGAACCAGAGCTGTATTCTTTCACCTTTGTATTCCTAAGATTACATTAGACTCTTCCAATTAGAGGAGTACTTTAGGAGTTAAAAAGATTTCAAATCCCAACTTTGTCACTTTTCAGATGTGTGATTTCGAAAGAGTAAGGTGACTCTCTGAGCTTTGGTCTCTGAGTCTGTAAAATGGGAATAGTAATGTTTACTTCATAGCTGCTGCAGGTTAAAGTGAGACAATAAATATAAAGGACTGAGCAATGCCCATCCCAGAATAACAGGATGAGGGTGATATTTGTGGTTTACACACTTAATATGAAAAGATAAGGGACATTACTTTTATAACAGTTATTGAGTTACACTCTTGAAGATGTCAAAGTGGAAAAGCATGATTTGGGATGTGAATGCCTTCAGCCTCCCTGGGCAGCTCAATGTGGTGATAGATGGAGCAGCCAAGTGTTTGTGAGAAGACACTAGGGTGATGGGGGGCTCTGTCTGCACCTTGGCTCTGTCTCTGGGTAGTTTGTGAATTTAGCAAGTTAGTCTGGGCCTGTGTCTTCATCGTTCAGTTGGAAATAATATATATCAGTGGATTGGTGTGCATATCAGGTGAAATAATTAGTATTTCACAGTTTCAGGCCCAAAGGCAAATCGCTCAATGACAGTAGTTAGCTTTGTCATTGTGACGCTTAGTGTTATTGTTGATGGCTATTGTGATTAGAAAGGTGCCAGATTTATAGCTATAAACCTGCCTTCAATTTCATGTACTGCTGCCTTCTAACTAGGCTGCATCCTTATTTCTGGTTTCATCTTTTCTTAAATGGGGAAAGTCATCTCTACTTGGGAAAAAAGTGAGCCCCTGCTTGGTAAAAAGAAAACACTCCAGAATTTATTCTCTTACAGGATTATCTGTGACTTTTTACAATCCTATAAGAAAATAGATTCTGAAAGTTTTCTTTTTACCAAGCTTGACTTGCTGACTTGCTTTTAAGAAGTGCAAGTAACAGTTCTGTGCTTGGGGCATCTGGGGCAGGGTCCACTGACCTTCTCCAGCTTTGGTTTGACTCTCAGACATGGGCACACTCTCAGCATCAGGCATTTTCTTAATGAACCGGCTGAGATAGTGGAGACGAGCCTGGGCAGCCTGAGAGACAGAAGTTATCAGCACACAGCACAGGGAACACTGGCTTGGCGGCACACAAAAGACACAGGAAAATGTGAATGAACCAGGCCATCTCTTATTAATTATCAAAGAAACTCAAATTCTGAACCACCCATGACTTTGCCAGTTAGTTTTGAGAACTAATGAAGAATTAGTCCTAAAACTAATACTCTGAACATGCTACCTTCCATCCGGCTGCTCCTGAACCTTTGTCATCTGCATCAATAACCCTCAGCTGGGGGCATGAAACCCATATAAATGAT